ATAAATCACTTGAGTAATAATGCAACTTAGCCTTTAAATAAAACTTAGTGGCAGAGAGCCTTCTCACTGACACCCTTAACTGACTACTCAGAAATTGCTATAATACTGAACTTCAGCTATTTCAGGTATATAATTTTTGATGGTTTATTGAGTGCTAATCCATAAGGTTCCAGTTAAAACCAAGTTTGCTGCATCTTTACAAAAAAAACTTGCAATTTTTTTTAATAATACTTGCTAGGTTACCCTCTTATTTCATCTTCCTTCTCCTGAATTGCTTGTTTTTTTTTGTTTTAAGAGCTTCCCAACCCTCTGGCTTCCAACTAATCTTCATAATGTATGCGTTTTCTTTTGCATTTATGCTATGCTTGACTTCCCTTGTCAGCCATTATTGCCATATCTTCTTCATATGTTTCTTCTTCTTGATGAATTTCTGCTGTGTCTGCCAAATTACCCTAGAAGTTCCTGCCATTATTGCTCCACTGTCTTCCCTGCCTTGTTCTCCTTCCAATCAATTCTGGCTAGCTTGGTCCTCACGTCTTTTGAGTAAAGGTAATTATATTATAAGACCTTTTAAATCTGATTCCAGCTTCTTCCTCAAACACTCTGTGAATTCTATCATGTTATAGTTGCTGCCCCCAAGGGCTTCTTCACCTTAAGCTCCCTACTCAAGTCTACCTCATGACACATCACCAAATGTGGTGTTCACTGTTCCCCTAGTGGGCTGTATCACAGGCTGCTCCAAAAAAATCATCATATAGACATTCCATGGGTTCCTTCTCATGGAATCTGCTATCAACCTGATTTTCTCAGTCCACCTGCATATTGAAGTTCCCCCATGATTATAGTAATAGGAAAGACATGTAAGAAAGGTTCCATCTCCCGATTTTATTTTCTACCCCAAATCCTGACTACTGCTAGGGGGCCTATACATTACTTCTTTCTGGGTCTTTTTTTCCTTTGCGATTACTCAACTCTACCCTCATAGATTCTACACCTTCTGACTTTATCACTTCTTGCTATTGATTTAATTTCACTTCTTACTAATAAGGTAACCTTGCCCACTCTGCCCATCTTTCTGTCCTTTTGATAGGACATGTACCCTTGGATATTTATTTCTGGGCCCTGTCCCCCTTCCAGCCATGTCTCCTGATACCCACAATGTACCCGCCAATTTCAGTCTGCTAAATCAATACTCCTCCATGTTGAACACCAGTTGGAGGAAGCCATGGGGGTAGCAAGGACATGGAATGTACTGTGAGTGAGGGACTTCAGTGTCCACCACGAAGAGTGGCTCCGTAGCAATGTTGCAGACCCTGAAAGGGACAGATGCTGGACTGAGTCTGTGGCAAGTGGCCAAAAGTGCATTGCGGAAGTGTAACAATTGTTCCTTCCTATCAGCACAAAAAACACTGGAAAAGTTGCCCAACCGTGACTACCAAGGGAAATTAGGGATAGTATTAGATCCAAGGAAGGGGCATACGCTAAGTGGCCAAACAAAGCAGTAGACCAAAGGAGTGGGAGCAGTTTAAATTTCAACAAGGGAGGACTAGAGGATTGATTAAGAGGCAAAAAAATAAAGTATGAGTGTGTGCTTGCAGGGAACATATCTATAAGAGGCTTTTGCAATAATTTTGTGTAAAGAGAACAAGATCACTGAAGACAAATGTTGATCTCTTACTGTCTTAAATAAAGCAAGTTATAACAGGAAACAAAGAGATGACACGCTAATTAAATACATATTTTGTTTCTGTTTTCACAAAACTGTTGGGAATATAGGATTCAGTGAAAGGGAGGAACTGAAGGAGATCAGTGTTGGGGAAGTTGGGCTTAAAGGCTGGTAGATCCTGAGGGCCCAATAATCTACACATAGAGTACTAGAAGAAGTGACCCTGGAAATAGTGAACACATTGAATCTTTCAAAATAGTATAGACTCTGGAACAGTTCCTACAGCTTGAAGGGTAGCTAATGTAACTCCACTACTTTTTTTTTTGAAAGAAAAAGGTGGTAGACAAAAAACAGAGAGTACGGACCAGTTAGTGGGGTACCACGGGCATCAGTGCTTGGACCCCAGCTGTTCACAATATATATTGATGACTTAGATGTGGGAACTAAACGTAATATCTCCATGTTTGCGGGTGGCACAAGGCTGTATTGGGAGATTTAACTGACGAGGATGCAGAGATACTTGAGTGTGATTTGGACAAGTTGAGTGAGTATAAAGGCAGGTGAAATATGTGGATAAATGACATTATCCATGTTGGTAGCAAAAACAAGAAGGCAGATTATTATCTGGCAATAAATTTGGCAAAGGGGAGGTACAGTAAGACCTGGGTGGCCTTGTATACCATTAGCTGAAAGCAAGCATGCAGGTATAACAGAGACAACAAGGTGCAGAGCTGGATGAACACAGCAGGGCAAGCAGCATCATAGGAGCAGAAAGGCAGGTATAACAGGTGGTAAAGAAGGCAAATTGTATCTTGGCTTTCAAAATGAGATGTTTCAAATGGAGGAGCAATGATGGCTCGCTGCAATTGTTCAGAACCTTGGTGAGACCACACCGAGAACATTGTGTGCACTTTTCTTCCTTTTATCTGAGGATGAAAGTTCTGGCTTTGAAGATAGTGTGGCAAAAGTTTAGCAAATTGTTTTCTGGGATGGCAGGAGAGAGATTGAATCAGTTAGGACTATATTCATTGGAGTTTAGAAGACTGAGGGGGATATCGTAGAAATCTATAAAAGTGTTATGGGACTACACAGGAAAATGCAGGAAGGATGTTCCTAAATGTATCCTAAATTAATCTTGTCCTTGTCCCCTCTAAACGCTTCCTATTAATATACCCATCCAGATGGCTTTGAAATGTTGTAATTGTACCAGTTTCCACCACTTCCTCCGGCAACTCATTCCATACACACACCACCCTCTACGTGGAAAAGTTGCCCCTTAGGTCCCTTATATATCTCTTCCCTCTCACATTAAACCTATATGCTCTAGTTTTGGACTCCCCAGCAACCCAGGGAAAAGACCTTGATTATTCACTGTATCCATGCCCTCAAGATTTTATAAACGTTTATAAGGACACCCCTCAGCCTCTCTTCCAGGGAAAATAGCTGCAGCCTATTCAGCCTCTTCCTATAGCTCAAATCCTCCAACCCTGGCAACATCGTTGTAAATCTTTTCTGAATGCTTTCAAGTTTCACAACATCCTTCCTGTTACAGGAAGACCCGAATTGGATGCTGTATTCCAAAAGTGGCCTAACCAATGTCCTGTACAGATGCAACATGACCTCCCAATTCCTATACTCAATGCACTGACCAATAAAGGCAAGCATACCAAATGCCGCTTTCACTATCCAGTCAACTTGGAACTCCACTTTCAAAGATCTATGAACCTGCACTCCAAGGTCTCTTTGTTCAGCAACACTCCCCAGGACCTTACCATTAAGTGTACAAATCCTGCCCTGATTTGCCTTTTCAAAATGCATCACCGCACATTTATCTAAATTAAACTCCATCTGCCAGTCCTCTGCCCCTTTGCCCATCTGATCTACACCCTGTTGTATTCCGAGGTAACCTCCTTCACTGTCCACTACGCCTCTAATTTTGATGTCATCTGCAAATTTACTAACCATACCTCCTATGTTCACAGCTAAATCATTTGTATAAATGACCAAAAGCATTGGATTCAGCACTAATCCTTGTGGCAAACTGCTGATCAAGGGCTCCAGTCTGAAAAGCAATCCTCTACCACCACCATCTGTCTTCTATCTTTGAGCCAGTTCTGTATCCAAATGGCTAGTTTTCCCTGTATTCCATGCGATCTAACATTACTAACCAGTCTACCATGCGGAACCTTGTCACGTACTTTCGAGAAGCAGTTCGATATAGTTTTTGGGGCTAAAGGACTAATAAGTATGAGGAAAAAGTGGAAACAGACACTGAGTTGGGTGATCAGCCATGTAGAATGTCCTACTCCCACATTTCTTGTGTTTCACACTTTGAAATGAGCTATTACCACTTTCACAAACTGATCCCTTTACATCATTCAGTTCCATGGTTATGTTCTGTATCCTCTGCACTTTTTAAATTATCCTCTAAGACTACCAACTCAGTCTTTTGGTGTTTTATGCTGGCTAGTAAATGAATTCAAATAAACATCAGAAATGGTCTTTTCTAAGTATAGGATATATTGAATATATTCAATAATTAGCAGAACATCTGGATTTTGCTGATTTAAAATTTTAAAGAGCGCTATCATTCAAATATGAATTGCAGAATTCTCAAAGAAATATGTAAATTGATACTCATTGATTCAACGATTTAAAAACAAGTTTGTTTATTGCTGAACACGCAATCTACTGTGACCCTGCACTATTGGGCAGCATTTTAAAATATAAAGGCAGTCCGGTTGTGAATGGTTTCTGTTTTGGAGTCCATCCACAAGTCGGAATGTAGTGGAAATGATGTTCATGTAGGAAATGTTCATATGTCTGCTGTTTGAAATTACATCTGTATAGAGCAGCATTCATAACCCCTTGAAATCCTTTAAAAGTTAATTTGGAAAATACTATTGTATGTAAAAGAATACATGATACAATTTGTCATAGCTGAAAGTGGGTTTATCAAGCATTTTAAAATAGAGCATAATTTTTACCACCTATGGTGATCAGTTCCTTTATTTTAAAAGAATTCAAGCCAAAATTTCAACCCATAGCAATCAGTGTTGCATTACAAAAAGATCCACCTCCATTTGCATGCCTTCTATTGACTGTATAAAAAGCAACAAATAAAAGAAACCCTAAGTGGTGGTGGTTTTTGAGTTTGTGGCCATTTTGTGGTAGGTCTTGCTTCTAGCTCAATTCTTTAAACTATATTGCAAAAAAAAAAACTCATTGTGCTGTTTGCAATTTCCACTTTGAAATTTCATGGCCAATTTGGGGAACTGTGCAAAATAATCACCAGATCACAATTCCAAACCGATCTATTTTCATATTCCTACAGTGTATTTGAACATGCTGTGTTAGCTGCAGGGACTGACTTTCGCTCAGACAGACTTTGGGAAACTTACATCAACTGGGAAAATGATCGGGGAAATCTGGAAGAAGTGACTACAATTTATGATCGGATTCTTGGTATTCCAACGCAGCTTTACAGTCATCATTTCCAAAGGTATGCTAGAAGACTCGAAACAAATTAATTTTTCACATATATTTGGATCAAATCTTGCCTTATTGTTGAAACTCTTGTTCCAAATTTTGATTGAAGATTGAAACTGATATGACAAAATCCCAAAAAGTTGATATGGAGGTATGAAATTAAGTGAATAAGCAGAGAGAGAGAACTTTTTTTTCAAGTTGTTCAAGGAAGTTGGTTCACTGGTTGTCTGAGACAGATTCAATCTTTAATGAAGTCTATATGTTGGTAAATTACAATGTTAAGATTTTTATTGCATTCAATTGGGCAGTTCATGAGTATTTAACTATTCCGTACTTAAAACCATCCTTGACTTTCAAACTACCCTGTTTCCTGACCAATAACCGCTGCAAAAATCAATGAAATGAAATTCAAAAATTGTGCTGACCTTGGAATATTTTTAAATTCTCCAGATTCTTAGTAAATTAAAAGTTGTAATAGTTTATTTTTATTTTTGTGCAGAAATTCTACTACAGTCAACAAAGGATTAAATGTGAAATTCTCAATAAACTGAATCTTCAGGGTAGGAAAATTCCAATAGTGTATCCCAATATTTTGTATTATAAACTGGAATTTTCTTTCCTAACTCTTTGTCTGGTAAAGAAAGACTCATTAATCTACAATTTTACATGAATTATGAATAATTTGACTGTTTTTCAGGTTCAAAGATCACGTTCAGAATCACTTACCTAAAGATTTAATCTCTTCAGGGGATTTTATTAAACTACGCCAAGAGCTGGCATCCACAAATGAACATTTTGATAATAATGGTACTCCAGGAAATGATCTAACAGCTGGAATTGATATAAATGATCCTGCTCAGGTAACATAGACTATATATAAATTCTGATTATATATGAATCCTGTGATGGTTCTTGGGTAAACATTTATTATGTGACTGCATATTGAAGTACATGAACGTCACAGTCTATTCAGGTAACATGTTTCTTTAAATTTATTGATTAGCGTTTTGAAAAGTATAGTTGTCTGCTTTATATCTAATCTAATCTGACTGTGCCATGGCTTTAAGAGATGTGTTTTATCCATTTTTTTTTAAGAGGTTTTAAGGCGGAGGTGGCAGGCTGTCAATTGAAAATTCATAAACAGCTTGTGAGGCCTTTATTTTTATTAACGTTTGGAACAATAGAAGCAGCCTAAATGGGTGTGGTCAAGCTCCCAGAAAACCAAGATTTTTAGTTTTAGCTTTCAGCAGTTGTTGCTGAGGTCTCAGCAGGGTTTAGAAGCTACAGTACATCTCTCCCTGCTACACTTTGTGAGAGTTTTCTCTTGGTGTTTTCTTGCTGTTGAAGTTGCATATAAGACCATCTGTTTTTCTGAATTTGCCTTTGTCAAGGGTGTGTTTATGCAATGTTACTGTTTTGGAGCAGTTAATTAGTAATAGTTACTGTGTATTATTTAGTTAAGTATTTTGATAGCGTTACAGCTAAGCTAATTCTTTTTTCTTTTGTAGTACTTTACCTATAGCGTATGAATAAATTGTTTTGCTTAGCAGCTATGTTTGACCAATCAAATTGCATCCGGAACGCAACACCTTACATTTAAAATAGGTAAAAGCTAATGTAAAGGTTACCTTTTTAATATATTTTGAAGAGGTTTGGTCTGGTCCATAAGTCTGTCCACGTAAAGTTCGTTTGAGTTAGTGGCATGAGCAGCCCTAGTTAATGGGTAACTTAAGTACCTATGTGTTACGTTCACCTCCCCAGTTCTACCATACTTCTATAGTTACCTGACCTCTCAACCCCAGTCTCCAGTTCTTTCTGACTTAGTTGCTCTATCAGTTCCACATACAAAATGATTATTTTCATTGTTTTCTGACCTAATGCATAGTAACAGCAACTTAATGATACTTCTATTGCAATTCACTTATAGGTAGTTGTGTAGCACATGTGGTGCAGTGGAAGTGCGCCGTTTATAGGACCAGGTGTTGGCTATTTAGCCCATCGAGTCTGTCCTGTCATTCTGTGCGGCCGTGGTTAATCAGGTCATTGAATTTCTTGAGTGGGAAAGTCAGATTTAATAAATTTATTAGTTTGTTTGAAATGTTAACAGAGCATGAATGAAACCTGATGATTTTATAGCATGTGTGGATTTCCAAAAGGCATTCAATACATTTCTGTATAACAGAATTGAGCTCTTGGAATAAAAGGGATGGTAACAATGTGGGTATGAAATTAATTGGTTGAGTGACAAGAAACTAACAGTTACTGGTGGTTTTTTGATCTGAAGGAAGGTTCCAAGGGTCAGTGCTGGACTTCTGTATTTCCTTAATAAATGATCTAGACCTTAGGTGTACTGGAGACAGGTTAAAATTGTGAACGACAAAAAAAATCTAGAAGTATTGTAAACTGACGACACTATAGAATTTCAAAGGAATATGACAAGTTGGTAGAGTGATTGATAAGTGGCAGGCGAAGTTCTATTTGAACACGGGACTGAATGTACATTTTGGTAGAAAGATCATGGCAAGGTAGTAGAAAATGAAGAGTGCTACTCCAAAGAGTGAGCAAGAGCATAGACATCTGGGTGTATATGTGCATAAGTCATTAAAGTTGGCAGGATAAATAGAGAGAGTTCATCATTCATAAATTGAGTGAAACTAGAGGATGTAGAGTTTAACAATGGGCTCCTTCCTCTGAGCAGGAATGCATTTATACAAGAAAATTATCCATAAAAATTTCATACCAAATATTCAAGCCAAAACCCCTCTAACTTGATATAAAATTACTTAAGTTTGCAAAGACTGAAAGAAAGCAGAACATAGAATATAATGCAGAAATGAAAAATAGATGAGCCACACCTATCTAATATACAGTATCCAGGCTTTATTAGTAGCAGCATAAAGTACATGAGCAAAGTGGTTATGATGGACCTGGTATAGGATACTAGTTAGACCTCATTTGGAATATTATGTGTAGTTACAGCACCACACTTCAAAAGGGATACGAATGCATCGGTGAATATGCTGAAATGGTTTGTGAGTGTGTTCAATGGGTGACAAACTTTAGTCACGAAGATAAATTAGAGAAGTTAGAACTATTTTCGTTGGAGAAGTGAAGGCTGAGGAGATTTGCAAGTTTGCAAAATTGAGGTGTCTGGGTAAGAGAAACTGTAGCCATTTGTAAAAGGATTGAAGTTGAAGGATACAGATTTGTAATTTGTATATCACGTGAAACTTCATATAGTAAGTAGTTAGGATCTGGAGTGCAAGTGTGGTCGAGGCAATTTCAGTCAAGGTGGTCGAGGACAGTGGGTAATTGTTTCTCTTCAAATCATGTGTGGGGTTATGGGGAGAAGACAGGTGAATGGCACTAATTCATAATGCTAATGTGCAGAGCTGGTGCAGACATGATGGAATCAATGCAGTGTGTTTGATCCATGAGAAGAAAAGTAGACTTGTTGAATAAGTAGTTTGTCCTATCTCCATTGGAAAAACAGATACAAAATATAAACTGTACAATGGGACCTTTAAAATAAGTTATGGAGAGTCATATATTTGGCTTAATACCTATAAGCAACAATGTGGAGAAAATTTTAGGGTTTAAGATAATTGAAACTGATGGTTTTCACTCTAGCATATTAAAAGTAAGTGTGAAAAAATGCAGATATGTTTTAATTGTCTGTTGCTGTTTAGATTCAGAAAATCTGCATTTGGACTGGAAAATCGAATGCTCCTGCATTACTTAAGATGAGAGAAAAACCAATTAATACATACAGACTTGCATACTGGGGAGGTTGACTGTGAACCATCATCTATTTTGTTGAATTAAGATAGCTGCAGCAATGTGTATGTATTCTTTGTGCTGACAGCGAGCTGATATTCCTAAATTGGTTGTCTGGTTTTCACATAGGAGTATCCAGCAAATATTTTCTCATTGCATAACTACAACCATTGTTGGATGCTTGAGTTTTGCAAAAGCGTTTTGGTTGAGTACACTCCAAGCCTTATGAACTGTCGAGGGATACGCTCCTTGGCACATGCAGCCTAAATAATTGGCATCATACCAGCACTGAAATTCATGTGCCACATCTCTTATTTGTATTATAAGCAGTACATCGTTTTGACTTGACAGCAGCATCATTTGTGTGCTACTACACACTAGCAGTGTAAAACATCTAGCATCACCTGTTGCTGAAACGTTTCTGATACTTTGCACTTTCAGGGTGATCTGTGGTGCACTGAACCCCTTTTTGAGATCAAAAGTGATCAATTTAGGGCTGTTATTGCATTTGTGTGATGTAGAGTGAGAAATTACCTAACCATGATAGCTGTTATCCAGTGGGGTGGCTTTGAAACCCATCAAGTGTGTTGCTTGTTTCATTAAGTTCGCACAGTGAACAAATGGGTTGAGCCCTATTTGTGAAGTTGCTAATAAGGCCAAACTTATAGCATGGTGAACTGTTGGAATCCCAGTGTACGTTCTAACCAGTGAACGTAGGTTTATGGTAGACTCCTGGTTGTCTGTAATATATACTTGTGCTAATTGAGTTCATCATTCATAAATTGAGTGAAACTAGAGGAAGTAGAGTTTAACAATGTGCGCCTTCCTCAGCAGGAATGCATTTATACAAGAAAATTATCGATAAAAATTTCATACCAAATATTCAAGCCAAAACCCCTCTAATTTGATATAAAAATTACTTAAGTTTGCAAAGACTGAAAGAAAACAGAACATAGAATATAATGCAGAAATGAAAAATAGATGAGCCACACCTATCTTACTGCTGTCACTTTGACAGAGTGCACAGTAATGTTGTGACAGCAGAAGGAGTCTGCGAAGAGATATAGGTAGTGAATGGGCAAAAAAAATTGCAAAATGTGTAATGTGTGTAATGTGGCAAAATGTGAAATTGTTCAATTTGGCAGGTGGAAATGAGCAGCACATTATTTATAGTGATTACAGAACTTTGCAGTTCAGTGGATCTTGGTGTATTGGCACTTGAATTGCGAAAGATAATTATACAAGTGTGTTACATATGAAGGGAGGTGGAATGTTTTTCTTTATTGCAATGGGAAAGGAATATAGAAGTAAGTTGTAACAATTGGTGAGACCACATGGATGCTGTGTGCCCTTTTGGTCCCAAGTTAAAAGATATCGTTGCATTTGAAGGTATTGTATATTTCCTCTCATTTTGAAGAGGAATTCCCCAATTGTAGTGGTTTTGAAAATAAGGAGGTTTCCTGAATGGCATTGTTGACCATATTTAGGGATTTGGATAATGCACTGAAAGGCTAGCATTTAAAATATTACATAGTCTGCAGCCGATATACATTCATCGAAGGTGCAAATACCCAATGAGAAAGGTGACAAAATAAGTTTAAAGTTTGTATTCCATCAAAGGAAGTGGATGCTGTGTGTCTGGTAAGCCTGAGGGTTGGGAGTAATTTAGATAGCAAAGCATGACCAAGAAACTGACTGAATGCAAGCTCATGAGAAACAAAAGTGGACTACAGCTTTTAAGTATATCTAAAGGTAAATATTAGTTAGAACAAATCTCCTCCATTAGAGGCGGACACACTAAAATTTTTGGTGGACAGTAGTAAAAGATGCAGAAAATCTCCCAGAACTACAAGGCAATTGGGGACTTGGATAACAACTGAAAGAAATTAATATTAGTAAAGAGGTAATATTTTGACATTAGCTGGGTTGAAGGTTAACAATTCCCTGGACCAAATTAACACACTCCCAGTGTGTCAAAGGATGTGGCTTTTGAGTTAGTGGATTTACTGTTGGTTATCTTCCTGAATTCTTTACATTTCTAGAAAAAGTTCCTGCAGACTGGAAAGCAGCAAATTTAACCCCACTATTTGGAAAAGGAGGGTGGGAAAATGAAGTGCAGAGTTGTTAGTTTAATGTTAGTAGGAAAATGTTAGAATTTATAATAAGGGATATAACAACTGGACACTTTAAAAATGATGGTTCAACTCGGCAGAGTAAATGTGGACTTAAGAAATCACTTATGAAAAGCTTCTTGGAGTTTTTTTTAAACTGTTACTTTCAGCATGAATAAAGGAGATGAGCACAATACAATTGATGTCGCTTTTCAAAAAAGCCTTTGACAATGTCCTACATGGGAGACTGAGGAGAAAGCTAAACACACGTGGAATCCAAGGTAACCTACCAAGTTGGGTCAAAAAGTGAAGGAGACAGCATGATGGTAGAAGGCTGTTAATGTGACTCATTCAAAGATTTATCACATGGGTCGGTGTCTGGTCCCTTTATTTATAATATACATAAGTGATGTTGAGGAAATGTTGGTGGGGATGATAAGTTTGTAGATGACAAAGATTGAGGTGGTTATTAGTGATGAAATGGTCATAGATTATAGGGGAATACAGACAGATTGCCCAGGTGAACAGAAGGAACTTAATCCAATGAGTGAGGGGTGATACTCTTTTGGAAGAAGTAACAAGCCAAGGTGGTACTGTGAATCATAGAATACCTACAATACAGAAAGAGGCCATTTGACCCA